ATCTTCTGTCACGTGACACCACGGATGCCAGCCTGTCTGAAATGGGAACTGGAGGTCAGGGTGGCTATAAATGGTTTCTGTGGGTTCAGGTGGAGGCCCAGTCGGAGGTGATGGTGGCGTTGGCTGGGCCATTCCATGACTGCTTATTAGGTGCCGTTCGTGTGTCAGCACTGAGACAGGGGCTATAAAACAGAAGCGAACATCACGTAACAGTTCTGCTCCTGTGGGCGGACAGTCTAGCTGGGGGTGGGGGAGACCAAATAGGACTAATCAGTTCATCAGACAAATAGCCATGTGATTACAATTGGGGCTGACTCTGAGCAAGAAAGGCTGGGTGCTAGGAAAAGGGTGTGTGGGCCGGGGAGGGTGCAGTTAGAAGGGCTCTGGCTAGTCCTTCCTAGAATATCATAGTTGTCGGGTGGGTTCCAGAGGGAGGCAGCTGGGCCAGGCAAACTGAGCAAGGGGGCCTCTGGGCCGGCAGAGTTTAGAGTTTGTCCTAAAGCAATTGGAAAAATGAGAACCCATTTTGGTTTCTAAACTGGGACGTGGGATAATTAGATTTACAACTCAGAACACTCTGGCTGTAGGGGGGAGGACAGATCAGAGTGGGCAAGGAAGGATGCGGGGTGATGGAGCCCTTGGGAGGCCTTTGAGATGGCACGTGGGTGGTACATCCAGGGGACCTTAGCATGAAGCCCCAGTGCTTGTAAGGGGCCTCGTTGATGGTTCTCCTCAGCCAGCTCCAGCCCAGGGCCTTGTGTCCTGGAAAACATCCATTGAGAAGCCTTGCTCTGCCACCTCATGACCAACTCATCGTAGTTGGTCCAGGACCTGCCTGGTTTCGGCCCTCTAAAGTCCCCATTCCCCGGAAACCCCAGGATGGTTGGTCACCCGACTCTGGGACAGGATTAAGTGGGGCCAAAGAGCGAGCTTCCCTCACGATGAGACACTTCTCTGCATCTTCTCCCCAAGCAGCCTGGACACAGGCTTTGCAGCTGATTTGCTGTGTGGCCTGGAAGAATTTACGTGGCCTCTCTGGGCCACTGTTTCCTCATTTGAAAAAATGGAGTTTGACCTGGAGAGCCTCTTGGTCTCCTGGCAGCCCTGATTTCTGGGCTCAGCTGCTGCATTTCAAAGCTTATTCAATGCAGAGGGCTGAGCATTGAGGATAGGGCCATCTACCCACGGTGCGGCCTCGGGCAAGGTACCTTGCCTCTCTGTTTCTAGTTTCTTCTTCCATAAAATGAGAATAATAGTACTTACCTCATGGAAATGTGAGCATCAAGGTAAGGGAAATTATTCTGTGTTTGGCATAGCTGGATACTCTGGTTAACTAAAAGTAAGACTGGGAGTTAAGATTTCCATAAGTAGGGGCACCCAAGTGGCTCAGTCGGTTAAGCATCTGCCTTCGAGTCAGGTCATAATCCCGGGGTCCTGGGGTCAAGCCCCACGTCGGGCTTCCTGCTCAGTGGGGAGTCGCTTCTCCCCCTCTCTCTGTCTCCTGGCTCTCGTTCTCTCTCTCTATCTCAAATAAATAAAATCTTTAAAAAAAAAAAAGACTTTCGGAAGTAGTGACTGCCAGTTTTCAAAACAATGTGGATGTGATTAAGCACATTTACATTTCAAGTTTTGTGACATGCACTTTATATTTACCATTTATACTCTGCTAAGATTGCCTTTTACCTCCGAGTGTCTGGTTGCATGAGGTGGAGACTAGGCCCTTTTTGCCACTGTCCCCCCAGAATAGAAATTTGTTGAGTTAGGCGAGGTCACCTTATGCCCATTGTACAGGTGAGAGGATCGAGGCTCCGGGAAGTTAAAGGTCCTGCCATTAAGTGGTGAAATCAGAATTCACACCTGGATCTGATTCAGGGTCCTGTTCTGTCCGCGAATTGACCTCAACTTCCTCAGGGTGTGCTTGGGTGGGGCACGAGTGATGGGGAAGGGGGTGCAAGCAGGCAGATGTGGGGAGGGGGTCCCCTGTGAGGATCTGACTAGGAATTCTCTGAGGGGAGCAGCTACAGTGGCCTGGCATGACACCAGCAGCTGGCCTGATCCTCATGTGGACCCGAGCCACGTGGAGGCTGTTCGCTCCTGTGGCTGGTTGCCATGGAGACGGCTGTGCGTGTGCATGTGCGTGTGCGTGTGCGTGTGTGCATGCCGAGATGTACCTCAAGCTGGCCACCCAGGCTCGCCCCGGAGGTGCTAGCCGTGGGCGAGAAGACCAAGCTGATGCCCTTGAGAACAGGGAAGGAAAAGCCTGGAATTCTTATTTTTTATCATGAAAAACTTCAAGCAAGTGCAAGAGTAGAGTCTACGGTACAATGAACCCCAGCTACCCATCACCCACCTTCGACAATCCCCAGCTCTTGGCTAATTTTGTCCTATCTCTACCCCCCTTCCCTTCCTCCCTCATCCCACATATACTTCGAAGCACATTCCAGACAGCAGACAGCAACCATTTCTTCTGCAAATATTTTAGTATATGACTCAAAAAAAAAATTTTTTTTTAAAACCACCATCACCCCTCCTAGAACTAACAGTAGTGCTTTAATATTAGCAAATATCCAGTGTTCCAATTCCTCTGGTTGTCTCATAAATGTTTGCTTTACAGTGGTTAAAATCGGGACGCATATAAGGTTCATACATTGTGACTGTGGATATGTCCCTTATGTCTCTGTTAATCTGTAGGTACCCACTTCCTCCCTTTTTTGTCTCTTGCTATTTATTTGTTGAAAAAACTGGGTTGGTTGCTCTGTGACCTATCCTACAGACTGAGTTTTGCTTATTGCATTCCCATATTGCTGTTACATGCGTTCCTCTCCCAGCTCTATTTCTTATAAATCAGTAGCTAGATCTAGAAGCTCACTTAGATTCATGTTTGGTGTGTGTGTGTGTGTTTGTGTGTGTGTTTGTATAACTTTATGGTGGCTGCTTAGTATTCCATTTGAAGGTACATAATGTCTGGCTGTCCCTCTTTGTGATGTTAGCAGCCATTGATGATGACTATCCAGATCCACTGGAGGTTGCAAAATGGTGGCATACTAATTCTATCCTTCTTTGTTTGTTAGCTGGAATACTTCCATAAAGGGAAACTTGCCCTTATCAACTGTTTGGTTGCTGCAAGGTATAGTTCATACCAGAAAGGATAAATGCTTGGTTTTTTTCCCTTTATTGGACATTGTCAAAACAATGAGTTCGTTCCTCAGCATCCTCCAGAGATGACAAATGAGTTTATGTTTTTCTATTTTTCTTTCTTTTTAAAAAATTTATTCATTTGAGAGAGAGACAGAGAGCACACAGGAGTGGGGGGAGGGGCAGAGGGAGAGGGAGTAGCAGACTCCCTGCTGAGCAGGGAGCCGGATGCAGCACTCAATTACAGGACCCTGAGATCATGACCTGAGCTGAAGGCAGATGCTTAACCGACTGAGCCATCCAGGTGCCCCTATTTTTCTATTTTTCTAAATATCTTGGTGACCTCATAGATTTAGATGTATATGACATGTTTTAATCCATGACAGTTATTATTCTTATTGATACTCAAATTGTCCCATCTTTGGCCAGTGGGATCCTCTTCACACTGTCCCCTGTGTCCTATTTGACATGATCCCAGAAGTCTTTGACAGCCCCATGTGACCTGGGTGACCAGATATTCCAGGCTCACCTGTACATTTCCTGCCTCACATCTGGAATCAGCCATATCTCCACAGAGCCCTGGTTTCTGATTAAAAGTGGTGTTTAGAGACCATAATGTGGGTGCTGGGAGTGCTTAGATAGCTGCTGAACTGGTCATTCTTTCTCACCTTTTCAGGAGACGTGGTCAGAAACACACCCTTCATTTTGTCAGGCAAAATACAGCAGGATTTCACCCGGTACTTTCAATTCAAATCTGGGGCTATGGGGTTTTCACTCTGTCTCTCTGATTTTGCGTCCGCAACTCCTTTCTTCCAGGATAGTGTGACAAAGCCTGCTTCTAAAAGCAGAGCTCTTTGTTGTGTGTCCCCTCGAGCAGGAAGCATGTGAGAAAGCACTTCAGTCTGTCCCCTCAGACATGAACCTGAGCTCTCTGAGGAGGACGTTTAGAGCTGGTCCCCGGGGGGGAAGCCCACTTCTGGGTCCACAAGGGGGCCACGTTCTCACGGCAGATGAACCAGCTCCTTCCCCCATCCCGGGTGTGGATCCTCTCGTCTAGCTGCTCCCAATCCTGCCTGCACACTTGAATCACATGAGGACTTACAAAAAACCCTCCCGATCACAATTAAGTCAGAATCCCTGGGGCCGGGACCCTCACATCAGTATTGTTTTTTAAAGCAGTCTGGGTTATTTTAATGTGTACCCAGGGTTTAGAATCACTGCTCTAGTGTCTGCTTCTCAGCCGAAGGAAGAGAAGAAGAAAGAAGCCAGGGGTGATAATAGTGCTTCCTTCAAAGAAGCTTGGGTTTGAATCCTGACGCTCCCAGTTCCTGCCTCTGAAATCACTGAAAGAGCACCAATCCCTCGAACTTTCTGCAGTAATCAAAATGGTCTGTATCTCTGCTGTGCAGTGTGACAGCCACTGGCCCCAGTGAACTAGTTGCTGGTGCAACCCAGGCAGTGAATGTTCGGATTTTTTAACTCTTAGCTAATTTACACAAAAATAGCCACATATGACTAGGAGCTACAGTCTTGGGCAGCGCCACTCTGGAAAATGACTTAACAGCTACAAGCTTCATATCCGTAAAATAGGGACTAATAAGAGTTACTTCACTGGGCTGTTGTCAGGATTAGAGATAATGTATATTAAGCACATGGTGAAGACAAGGCATTCAATGAAAGGCTGCTTCCTTTCCTTATTAACATCAGCTCGTCACTCTTGAAAAAACAAAAACAACAACACAAAAACTTGCCCAGAAATGGAGTGCTCAGAAGCACCCCACCACGGAGACTAAAAATTCGAAGCCGTTCCAGAGAAACTCTTGGAAAATGTTCCTTAATTGTAGAAGTTCAATTGCAGCAGGAGGTTATCAGTTGCGAGGACTGTATTTTGTTACAGATCTAGCCGCAGCTCAATAAATTAAGCAATCACTCCAAATAACATGTTGCTTTAATCCCCTCTTGGAACAATTTCAAGTTGTTTGGTTTTATATTAGCACAGCCCTTGAAAGGAGACTCAACGTTGGTCTCATTTCTTTTTCCTCAATCCGTCAGACCCTCTCCAGATAGATCTCAGCGGGACTAGCAGGAGGGAGGATTCCGAGCCGAGCAGAACTCCTTTTATCAAACCCGCAGTGTTTTCCATCTTCTGGCCTTTATGTGCTCCACGCCTCGTTCACTAAAATTACTGGCAGGTTTATCTGCAACTAACACAGAAAGAGACACCTCTCAGCAGCCGGTTCTGGACGTGAAAAGCAAACTTGCAGTGGCTTTTCCATTCTCCTCTTCTCCCTAGTGGTTTATAATCTCACAGTAGAATTTCATTTCCCCTAGAAACTTGGCACCGGAGGTGTCAGCCGGGGAACATATTTGTTTGTGTAAATTAAAAGGAGAATATGTTTTGACCATATTTAAGTTCTAACTGCGCTAAAGAAATAAATACTGACTTGCGCAACGCTTCTCACTGCATGGCTCTGGCTCACCTCCCCAAACTCTGCCTTTGTTTATAAAACCCAAGCTGATGAGAACTCTGAGCAGCTTATCACCTCAGAAAGGGGCCACGTCCACCCCCACCCAGGTCCACATGGCAAGTCCGCTTACCTCATTTGGGACTTTTTTCCCCTGACACACTGCGTCCTTGCTGGGGTGGGCGAGGCCGTGGAAACGGGCTCCCCCACCCATGCGCTCTTGATGGGCATTGGGCAGTAGCTGTAGAAATAAAAAATGCACGTATCCTCTGGACTGAGACATTCTGCTTCTAGGAACGTATCCTGTGAGTATACTTGGACACATGCCAAAGAGAGTATATGTTATAATGGCAAAATCCTGGCGTTAACTGAAATGCTGGCTGGTAGGGGACAGGTTAAGTATGGTGCAATGCTAGAAGGCATTAGAAAGAATGAGGTGGGTCTGCGGGCTGTCACGTCTTCAGGATATATTGGAACGCCCCCAGCTTGCTTAATGTTATGAGCAAAAAAAGTGAATGCACTTGAACAGGCTTTGAAAATGTATGGAGATTATGCAAACTGCATCCAGCGGTTACTGTTTAGAAAGCAAAATTAAAGATAAATCACCAAGGGGGTGTTCCTTCATTTCCCACATTATCCTCTTCTGTACTCTTTTTCTTACCACCAGCATGGTATTATTTTCAAAATCTAGGGCAATTAAATAACCTAAAATCGTGTTTTTGATATGATTTCCACACTCTGGAGCAATATAAAATGATAATACTCTTTTCATTACGTATCTGTCAGGCTAGTGGAGTGGTGGTGGGAATCCTTGCTTTTCTGGTTTCTTTCTTTCTTTCGAGAGAGGGAGTGGGGGAGGGGCAGAGGGAGAGAGAGAATCTTTTTTTTTTTTAAATTTTTTAAAAGATTTTATTTGAGAGAGAGAGAGTGAGTGAGCGAGAGAAAGCACAAGCCAGGGAGGGAGGGGGAAAGGCGGAGGGAGAAGCTGACTCCCTGCTGAGCAGGGAGCCCCATGCAGGACTCGATCCCAGGATCCTGGGATCCTGACCTGAGCCAAAGTCAGACACTTAACCGACTGAACCACCTAGGTTCCCTGAGAGAGAATCTTAAATAGACTCCATGCTCAGCTCAGAGCCCGACGCAGGGTTTGATCCCATGACCCTGAGATCATGACCTGAGCTGAAATCAAGAGTCGGATGCTTAACTGACTGAGCCACCCAGACAGCCCAGCTTTTCTGGTTTCTTTATGCAAATAACCTGGAGTGGGATGCACGGTGGTCTCAGAGAGACACCAGATACGCCCACTTCCCAGTCTCTGGAACTTGTGAATATGACCTTATCTAGCAAAAGATGGGCTTAAGTCAAGGATCTTGAGATGAGTTTATCCTGGATGATCCAGAGGGGCACTGCATGCATCCTTAGAAGAGAGAAACAGAGGCAGACATAGCAAGAATAAGAACGCATGAAGACACAGGCAGAGATTGGAGTGATGTGGGCACAAGTCGAGGACCATGGGAGAGGCAAGGTACAGATCTTCCCCTGAAGCACCTGGGGGGAGTGTGGCTCTGCCAGGTTACGGACTTCTAGCCTCCAGGACTGTGAAATCCTACCTTTCTGTCATTTTAAGCCTCTTAGTTTGTATCAATTTGTTACGGCAGCCCTAGGAAACTAACACATCACCTGGCTTTTGTAACCCCTATAAAATGCATGAAGCACATAGGTACTTTACGAATAAGTTTGGTAGTCCTGTGTGTTTGGGGGAACACAAAGAATGCATTCATGCATTCCACAGACAGATATTTCTTCAGCATCTAGTTGGTGGCAGGCACGGGTGCAGGTCCTGAGGAGACAGCAGAGAACCAGAGATGCCTGACCACCTGGGGCTGACACATAAGCGGGAGAGAGATCGTAACTAGAGAGAAGGACCCATGATGGTGGCAGGGGCTGAAGAGAACAAGAAAACATGGAAGGAAGACAGGACCCTGGGAGAATGGGGAGGGGACACTGGAGTAGATGCGGGCAGGGGCTTCGTGTCCACCTGAAGGGAGAGTATTGAGCAGAGGAAGCGAGCACAGAACTTGACCCTACCGGGCACCCATTGGTTGGACCAGAATCGGTAGGAATGAGCTACCCTTCTCCCCTTTTTCCTTCCCCGCCTCCCTTCCTCCCACGTTTGTTGTCTGCCTACTGTGGGCCAGCAGCTGGGGACGCAAAGATGTCCAGGGTCCCCATGCCCAAGATCCTCACTCATGGGGGGCAACAGGCGTGAACAGATCACCACAAATATAACACGGTAGGCATGGGAGCTTTGGCCAGGATAAGCTGCATGCGTGGCCCATGGTGGAGAGCAGCGTGGGGAGGAGAGGTGGGGGTACGCTGGGGGCGAGGCTGGGGAGACAGGCAAGCAGGAAAAGGGCCAGATGTACACGTTCAAGAGCAAGGGCGTAGCTCTGATTCAGTGGGAAATGAATGGGCGATGGGGTAGCACAGGGACGCGTGTCTGGGGATTCTTGTATCCTCACGTACGGCAGGCACACCTCGGGGACGATGAGTTCTGAGGATAACCTACCCCTTTTAGCTTCACACAGTCCACAGAGAGGACACAGTCCCCACATCCTGAATTGGGGTGCTCTGGGCTGCACAAAAACCAGAGTTGATCCGACTGAGGCAATACGGGGGATTCATCACTCTGGTAGCTGTGATGAGGGAAAAGGCTGAGCTGCTCCTGGATCCAGCACGTGTAATGCTGTGGGGACAGAACTTAGCGCCGGCCTCTCTCCTTCCTCCCCACCCCCATCCCATCTCTCATCGCTCCCTCTCTCTGCTTGTTGACCTCAATCTCTGGGGCCACGGGCACCTCTGGACGCTAGAGAGTGGAGCTAAAGCAACCTTCCCGCCCGCTCCAGGTAGGACAAGCCTCGATTGGCTGTGCTTGGGTCATGTGACCACACCTGGACCAATTACTGCTATCTGGCACCGAAGTGGGCTGCTGCGATTGGTCATGTTTGGTCACATGTCCGTGTTTGGACCAATTACTGTAGCGGAGGGATGGGGGTCGTGGGTGGCCATCTTTGGTCGTATTCTCACCAGTGTCAGGTGTTAAGTGGGGGAGGAGGTGTTTGCAAAACAAACCCCCCAACCCCTAAAACAAAAACCCCATAGATAATAAAAAACCCAGAGCCATCTCACTCCTCCAGAGACATCTGCTGGCTGTGCTTCTACATTTACTTGGCTGAGAATTGCCTCAATCTTGAGTCAGACGCTTTAAGATCCACTATACGGTCTCCCAACCCCCCGAGCTGCCCGCAGAATTTACTCAGACCTGTTGTAGTTCTTTTTTTTTTTTTTTTTTTTGCTACTGTCATTATTTATTTTAATCAAATTTAAAAAAAAATTTTTTTTCATCATCTTTGGTTGATGATTGCCACTTCTGCTAAGGGTAGGAACTGCGCCTGTCCTTTTGAGGGCTGCATTGCCCCTGCTCAGTACACAGCCCCTTCTATGGTGTAGGTGAGGAACTGAGGAGTGAGGGCGTCTGGGTGGCTCAGTTGGGCGCCTGGGTGGCTCAGTCGGTTAAGCGACTGCCTTCGGCTCAGGTCATGATCCCGGAGTCCCGGGATCGAGTCCCGCATCGGGCTCCCTGCTCAGCAGGGAGTCTGCTTCTCCCTCTGACCCTCCTCCCTCTCATGCTCTCTCTCTCTCTCATTCTCTCTCTCAAATAAATAAATAAAATCTTAAAAAAAAAAAAAAGGAACTGAGGAGTGAATGAACGTGCGTTCACTCATTGAACTTGCCGCAGAGAACAGGAGGAGGTACAAGGTCCTTACCTGTTCTTTCCTCAAGGAGTCCCTCTCTCCTCCCCGCCCCCCTTCCCAGTCGTGTTGTATACCCCTCCATGACAACGCTCTGTTAATGTAAGTGCATCGCTGGGCATCATCCAAACACACACTGGGGGCTCTGAATCTCTTGGTGTCCTGAGTAAAGAGTATACATTCTTGCGGTGAGCCTGGATTAGCACAAGAAATAAGGTTCCTTTGGTTGGTGGAGACTATCCTTGAGAAGGATGATGGAGCTGAGAGGGATCGGGTGCCATGATGGGCTGCCAGTGTCTGCCATGACCACCTGCCTCAAAAGGGCATCCCTAGTCCTGCCACTGCTCTGGATGGTTTGCTAACCAGGGGGCCTCTGTTCTGAAGACTGCAGCCCTGTCATCTGCTGTGAGATCAGAGGACACTCAGAGTCCAGGACAAAATGGTGTGCCTAAATAAAACAACTGCAGGCTCTTAGGGAGGAAGGCTTAAGGCAAATGGCTAATTTTTTTAAGTACTTATAACCCACATGTCAGCTGGGGTCATCTTATTTTTGGAGATTCAGATGGAACGGGCTTGAACTCTGTCCCTCATGCCACTGTCTCCCACATGGGAGACCCAACTTCTCTTGGAAACGTTCCAGGGATTGGCGGTGAGGGGTGCTTATGTCTGTCCTAGGCACCAAAGCTCTAAATTCCTGTGTCTAATGAATTAGTTCTGCTCGGGCACCCTTTTGCTGGCCTCATGGGCATGTGACACGTACAGTTGCACAGGGCCTATGTTTGGTTTAATGCTCTGCTGTTGTCACCTTGAACTTCTGAATAATTTTTGAACAAAGGGCTCCATATTTTCATTGTGCAAATTACGTAGCCAGTCCTGCTTTGTTCAGGAGCTGTTTCTTTCCACCCCACGTTGACCCACTCGGTCCTCTGCCCCAATTCCTCTGATCTCCCCAAATTCTACCCACACAAAGATGTGGGCGGAGGACACTCTGAAGGTTTGGGACGGAAGACAAGTGTTGAGCCCTCAGCCAAGTTAACAACATAAAGTCAGTGCTTGAATTGGCTTCGAACTCTTCGAAGAGTGACAAAGGGGATGGAGGGAAGGCAGATGACTCAGGACTGGCAAAGGCTGGTAATTGTTGATGATGGGTTCCAGTGCTCATTACAGTATTTTACTTACATTCAATATGGCGGGAAAGTAGAAAATACAAAGTAGAAAAAGGCAATATAAGACGTGCTTCTGGCAGCTCCTCAAAATGTTAAACATGGAGCTTCCATATGACCCAGAAATCACACTTCTAGGGTATACGCCCAAGAGAAATGAATACGTACGCCTACACAAGTGTTGAAAGCTGCATTATTCCTAATAGCCAGAAAGTGTTAACAATCCAAATGTCCATCACCTGACAAATGGATAAATAAAAAAATGA